ATAATATGTCGTTCTTATATAGCGTTTCATGCCTTTACAAGGCATCTAAGCGCTTCACATTACTTCCCCGGTCATTGGATCAAACACATATGGAACACATTGAAACACCAAATGAAATTATATTATCATTCCATAAATTGCAGCTAGTAATCAGCGCAGTTTGTGTTGGAACCTACAAGGTACCCACTTGTACTCCTGGGTGGAGAGAGGCAACCGTAGATAAAGTGTCTTGCCCAAGGACACAAGCGATTTGCACAGCCATAGTTTCGAACCCCCGAACTCAAGGTTGGGAGTCCAAGCCACAACCGGTGCGCCAACCGCTCCTAAATAACGATAATGTTTGTGGCGATGAACAAGAACAAACAGACGCAATCAGAAAAAAAAAAAACAAAAAAAAACAAGAGAGAGGAAAACCAAAAAGCGAACTTAATCAACTATTGAGTGGTTTCCCCATTACATAAAAAAATATAACAAATATTATCAGTGAAAATAAAAAATAAATCATTTTTCAGATTTTCAAATAGTTAAAATTTAAAACTATTTAAAACATGTAGGAATTAAAAAGGAGTCAAAAATGAATCAGAATGGAGGCAGATGAAACTAACATGCAAAATGAAGCTAGAGAGATCGGTGGAATGTATTGGAATTAAACAAAATATCGTTCTTGAGGTCGCTTGGCAATCTGCCTTATGCGCGGGGGAAATGGTTGAAAACAAAATGTTGAAAAGCATTAGTATTAGTTCTGGAGTATTGTGGAGTATTATTTTCTCCCTAAATAGAGAAATCTAAAGACCACATTTAGCGCCGAGGATTCCTAAGTGTCCCGCAGAGTCCCGGAATGGAGTCATCGCAGAAGTCAGTGCCAATCATAGCTACCACCATGCAAAACAATTGAAAATGTATATTATACATCTAAATACAGATGTGTTAAGAAAACTCATTTAAACAGACCTCACGGATGTAGGTTTTTTCAACTTGGGCCTCCTGTTTTCGGAGTGCCGGTCTTCAATTATAGGAATTCTATTAAACATAGTTTTGGTAGATTACTTTTTAAAATCTGAGATTTTAGTGCTGTTTTACAGGCTAGGCCTACAGATATCAAAATATAGATATTCAGATATTCAGATATAAAATACAGATATCAATGTTGTGTGTATACAGTGCTCCATATTGAACACTAATAGGCCTGTGTTAGTAGAACGTTGAAGTTTGTCTTATTCTATAGAATTAAGTGGATATTTGGGGTAGAACGAGCACACATGATTTGTGGCTACCAAGAAATAGTTTATAATGAATCAGAAACAGCATGCAGTCGGTATTTTGAAACACTCACAAAAAGTTAAACTAAAAAAAAATTGCTAACTTCAATAATTACATTTTTATATAGTGATTTTAATGCAGTTTTTGTGTTTATGGCCCATCGGGGACTAAACACTATGTATAAATCCGGTATGGAAGAATGATGGGATGAGTCATGAGCTAAAGAAAAAAAATAATAATATAAGACCTGTCCTAAGTTCACTAAAAAGTCACTACAATAAACAAAAGCCTACACATTTGTTGATAAACGAATCCCCATGCAGATACTTTATTAGTAAACATATACAGTAAAGCAGTATATAATAGCATAGACACACGCTCCCTCTGGGATCCTCCTATTTTTTTTAAAATATATAATGCATTTTAAAACACCGTTGAACTAAAAATGTTCGCTTCAATAAATAAATACATTAAAATATATAGTGATTTTATTTTTTTTAAAATACTGTATATAATGATGGTGACCAAATAATTCACATTTAAATCAGCGCTCTATAGGCCTATTGAATTAAGGACGGTGTAGTTAGTAGTGTAATGAAGATTTAGGTAGAAACAACTTGATGCGAGACTACCGGGAAATGGTAGCCTATAGTAAGAATCAATAATCATACAGTAATTGTACATCCATTTTCAAAATACCTGGAATAAAACAATATTACATTTACTACATCATTTCTTAATTTCTCTCTAAAAAGAGATATTTACAGACTACTTTTATTGCCCATCTAAACAAATAGATAACAAATAGTTCTATGTTGTAGATTAAGCTTTCATTATTTTTGTAATTAACTGTCTTCTCAATTGCATAAATTTAAACAGGACCATTTTATAAACAGACTGTTACATCTTGTCTGAAATTGTATCCTGTATAACTATGTTTTGAATAAAAGAAAATGAAAATAAAAAAATAACACTGCTCGAATAGTAACAAATTATAAGTGTTTTAAGCATAGCCCTTCAACGAAAAATTCATTTTTTTCAGTTGTATTAAAATGTGTCTTCATGGCGAGATGATTCAAACGCCTGCAACGTCTCGCTATCACGGGGAGTAAACATAATTAGACAACGGAGACCTATTCGTGCACTGTTAATATCTATAGTATTTGTTTATACTGCGTGCGCTATGCATATATATATATATATATATATATATATATATATATATATATAATAT